TGGGTACTGGTCTCAGAGTTCATAACTTTGATTTCAATACATTCGATAATACTCCAGGTACTGTTAAGAAATTGGTTAGATCTAAGGATAACAAATACTTGTTTGTTTCTGGTACTTTCAATAGAGCTGGTGATTTGTGGGTTAATGGTTTGGCTTATTGGAATATTGAAAAGAAGACTTGGAACAAGCTTGAAACCAACTCAATGGATAGCATTAGTGATATCGATTATGATGGTAGATATTTATATGTTGTTGGTTCTTTGACTAGAGCTGGTAAATATGTTGTTAAGAATGCTGCTAGATTTGATATGGAATCTCAAACATGGTTGCCAATGAATGATGGTTTGTCTTCTCCTGCCTCAGTTGGTGTTGTTGTTGATGGTAAATTCGTTGCTTGGGGTTCAAATGGTGGTTCTGGTGTTTCATTCTGGCAAAATTTGGCTGTTTGGTCATCAAACTCATGGAAGGCAATTGAAATGGATGCTGCTAACAATAATGGATGTTACTCTGATAGAGAAGTCTGTATTTCTAGTGTTCCATTGACTGCTGTCACTTATTTCAAGGGTAAGATTTACTTCTTGAGTGCTGGTACTGTCTATGTCTCTGATACTTCAATGAGTAAGGGTACTTTATATGCTAGAGGTTCTCTTGGTACTATTAATGCCAAGACTCAATTCTTCAATTATCCAAAGTCAAATACTATTGGTGTTGCTTCAATTGGTGGAGTTGAATTCGTTGAATATAACATTGATACTAAGAATATTCAACATACTAATACTAGAGATAGTTATGTTCTTGCTGATGCTCCAATTATGGCCATCTCTGCTGCTCCAAAGAATGTCTTTGCTGTTGTTGCTTTGATTGCTTCATTGATTGTTACATTGTTCTTTTAAATAAATTAAATTTTCTTCATAATTTTGTTGAACATTGAAAAGAGTTTCATTATGTTGAACCATTGTGTTGATAATTGCTCTGAATCCACTTACCTCTGAGGTGACATCTTACATTGGAGGAGCAAATTCTGCTGCGCTTAGTTGAAAGAGATGGAAGAAGCAGTTGCTACTGAAATAATGGAAAGAAATATTATTAAGGAATTGTTAATAGATGAGTTAACATCAACCATTCGAATACATAACATGAATTGCAAATAGAAGACAAATGGCTTCTAGGAGCACACATAGAGAGCACTCCATAACATTTTAGGTTTTGAAAATTAAAGTTCAATATTGTTCGATTCTAATTAAAAAGTTGTGGCAAACAATTTTACCTCTCAAATTATTCATAAAAAAAAATGGGCAATAAACAATCTAACCATCATCATCACCAACAACAACAACAGTCTTCTTCCACGAGCACCTTCACACCAACAACTATTCCGGTTTCTAATGAAGAGGCCTACAGAAGAGAAATGGAAATTTGTAGACAATACGAAATTGAAAGTAAGATGAGAGAAATGCATGAAGCCAAGTTTCATCAATATTCGGAAAATAAGGAGCCAGCATTGCAAAATCTTCAATTGGTATTAATAATTGATCACTCTGGATCAATGGGTTCTTTTGGTAGGTTTTTTTGTGAAATAATTTTTATTCTAATTGGAAACTGAACAAGATGAGGATGCAACAGGTCAAAATCGTTCCAAGGGCTTGGTTGATTCTAATCATTGGACACGTTATGATAATGTTATTCAAGCAGCTAAATATCTTTCTGAAAGTATATTACAATATGATAAGGATGGAAAGGTACCACTTATTTTCTTTGATTCAAATGTTAGAGAAGTGATTGTTGACAGTATTCCAAGATTAGTTGCTGCATTTGAAAAAAATCAACCAAATTCAAGTACCAATTTATTAGGAGCTCTTGAATTAGCATTTAAAAATCATGTCAATGATCATGAAAATGTATTATTTATTGTTTTCACAGATGGTAGTCCTAACGGAGGTCAAGAACCAAAGATCAAACAATTAATTCAAGACAAATTG